TATCTCAACTCACTATGCAACAACATGCTTAATATAAATTTATGAATAAAAATTTTAGATTAACTTTAGCAAATGAAAATCAATGTGTTTACCAAAACAAAAAATGAAATCAATGTCAAATTCTTGAGTACGCATTTTGTAAACTACACCTTCGTCCAAGACTGCGACCTCAAGATCAATTTTGGTATGTTCCCATCATACTCCTCAATTTTGAATGCAAGTGGACCTATTTACATCTAAATGATGACATAAGTCATTCTATGAAGTTATAGATTGAATCTCTTTTTAGTAAAATCTATACTCATTAATTCTCTGTTCTAAGAAGAAAAAATATATGATTTTACATATAATAAGAAAATTAGTTATTTATGTTAAATTTTACTAATTTCACAATGTTTTTCCTAAATTGTATTTGTAATAAATGTCAAAAGAAGTAATGCAACTGAAATATAGAGATATTTAAGGAAAAGTATCATTAAGAAAAAATAGTTAAAATTTGCTAATATTTAAGAAAAAATGATTTCTTTTATTTATAATAAAAACAAAAGGAGTATTAATGAAAAGCCAAACCAAACAAAAAAAATGAAAGCACAACACCACCAATTACTAGCATTATTAAGATTTAAGCATATAAAGAGAGTCTAACATAAAATACTAATCTATCTATTTATCTATCTATTTATTTATTTATCTATTTATAATATATAAATGTTGAACAACGTAAAACAATATGTTTATATGTGGCCCTATCACAAGTTTTGTTAATGTGTCATTTAAAGTCTCTTCCATTTATTCACCATGTCTCTTTCAATACTTAACTTCTACATAGAATTTCAGATTCTTTTTTCTTAAAAAAAACTTTAATTTAAGATTAAAAGTTTACTTTCATAACTTATTACAATGACATTAAAAGCTTTACAATTCCTTTTTTTTTTTCAACTACTGCGTTGTTTTTAAACATTCGAACTAATAGATGGTGTTATAAACCTTTTATTTTGTCTAATAGGAAGCTCAAATCAATCCTTCAGTAGTTTTCAATCTTTAACTATTTTTTCTTTTCACTTTTAAACTTAATTTGCAAACATCTATTTGAGTAAATGTGTATGTAATATCTTATAATAACTTTTCAACTACACTAATCTAACATTTTTTATTACTCAAAATAAAAATAATATTTGTAACATGTACTAAAACTACAATTTTTTATACAATGATGAAAAAAATGAAATAACATTCAAATAAAGTTTGCACATAAATATTTGTAGCCTGAATTCACATATGGCCAAGTTATCAGCAGCGAAAAATGTGACTTCTATGTACCAACTGGATACATAATAGTATGGTAGATAGAGCTGAACCAATTGAATCACTTCAGAGTTAAACAATTCTTTGAGTATCAAAATTGCTGAACCAATTGAATCAGTCCAGAGTTATCTAATTGAATCCGTTAATTTGAATTAATAAAATAAAGTATTAAATAATTTTAAAATTTTTAAAAGATTTACAGATTTGATCTAGAGAGAAGAGGAGAGAAAGTGACTCAATTTGAGAAAATAGCAACAAAATATAGAGAAAAGAGAGAAATTAAGTTACAGGTTGCATATCCACTAGACAACATTTATTGAATTACAATTGGAGATTCATTTACCATTGAATTAGGCAGATTTTTGGACAGCAGATTCATAAGATGTAGTTTTTTATATTCAACGATTAGATGATTGAAAAGAAGTATGGAGTGGGAGAAAAACATCTCATAATAAAAGCTCTAGTTTGGGGGTTTTCCATTTCTTATTTCTCAATTGTGAACAATTATGCTCGATTTTACTTTAGTTGATTGTAATCATTGTTTGGTGCGTTCTTTAGAGACTCTTTTGTACCATTTTTCGATCATAGTGAAATTTTTTTTTGGTTTGGACAACTCATGCTTTTCACCTTTATATTGAGGAATTTTTCACGTTAAAAATATTTGTATGTCTTGTGTGTTTGGATTATCTATTTTTACTTTATTTTGTTCGTGCTTCTCATAAATTCTTGTAAGTAGGGAATTTAATTTTTGTTGCATTATTAATATTTCTCAATTAATTGATGTTATTGTGTTGGACTTTCCACTACAAGAATGTTGCAATTTAGAGTCGGTCAAAAGCAGATTCTAAATCAAAAAAATCGACGTAATATTGTCGATTATTCGTCGATTTTTGGCTGACGCTAAATAAGTCGACACAATTTTTTTTGTGTCGCCTAAGCCCTCAATAAAAAATTTATTTATTTTATTTTTTTATTATCGATTAAGCCAACACTATGTCGACACAAAATTTATTTTATTTTATTTTTATCTTCTTTTTCCAGCTTATCAATTATTCGTTCGTATTTTTAACATTTCCGGTACTCGATCTATCAACCTTGAGGTCTTAAGTGAACTTGATAATCAAGTGCACCAAAACACATTATGCGTATATAACATTGAAAAAAGTATCATTATCTCTCTCAAAGCACGTATAATGTCAAAAAAGCTGACGCTATTTTAAGATGTAGGGTCGGCTTTTTCTACACTAAATTTAAATTAAGTTTAGTGTCAGAAAAGCTGACGCTATTATTTAAATATAGCGTCATCTTTTTCAACACTGATTTAATTTAATTTGTCAGCTTTTCCGACACTAAACTTAATTTAAATTTAGTGTTGAAAAAGCCAGTGCTACATCTTAAAATAGCGTCGGCTTTTCCAACAGTAATTACGTCAGCTATTAGCCGACGCTTATTTTTCACAACTATTTCACCGTTTTCTTGTAGTATTCCTTCATCACTACCAAGTTAACAAATTGTACTCGTCAATGGACGAGTTAGACGAGACAGATTAAACATGTTGGTTGATTTATTTATCCAACTCAACCCACAAAACATAAGTAGATTAATAAGTTAACCTTCAATTCACATTGTGATCTCTACTCATCACATGCGTATGAAAGATTCTAAATTGAAATATGTAGACTCATAGAGAGCTAATACACCGATGACTTATTAATTATATCTATCATATATATTTATATACATTAAATTGTAATTAATATAAACTCTCCATTTTGTCTCGAATAAAATTAATATATAAAAAGAAAAAATATAAAATATAAAAATAAATATTTGCATATAACAAACTGAAATGAAATATATAAAAATAAGAAGAAAAAAAGTGCAAAAAGAAAATTGTAAAAGAATAAAAATAAAAAAATATTTTGATTTTATTTTAAGTCTTTTCAAAAGATTTACCCGGTCAAGATGAGTATTCATTTATAATTAAAAAAAAAATCTTCTTCATTTAATGCTGAAGATATGAGAAGATTTTTCAATCCTCATGGGAAAAGGTTTTTTTAATCTCGCACAACTCTTACTAACTCGGGGCACCTTAGACACCGCACATTTTCTCTCACTTCACACACACTATACACTGGGCACTTATTGATCACTCTCTCACACAGCCACTTTCATTCACACAAACCTAAATTTAATCTTTCTCTTTCATAGTTGTTTGAAGAAAAAACACACGGAAAGAATAAAGGTATCCATTCATGCACTATGCACACGCACACCAGAAAGGGGATTGGTTTTTTCCAGCTTTTTCATGAAGTAGAGAAGGGGCTTTCTTCTCTCTTTCTTTCACACACATGATTACTACTTTCCCTTCTGCTGCTTCTTTTTTGACTCACTCTTCCTTACACATCCATCTAACATATAAGAGCACACATATTTTAAAGTCTGCATCGTAAGCTCTAGCTACTACACCCTCATGACGTTGCCACACATGCAACATACATCTTTTATCATTCACACTCATGACATCAAACACCCAAGTCCCAAGCCACACACTTACCACATATTTCTTTCATTTCATCTCACATTACCAATGATTATAAAACATCAACTCCAAAGACTCATCACAACGCCCACGTGCTCGTTTAATAACACTAGGTGCAGTTCACTGACTTCATTCAATATTGTTTCTAATTTATGTTGCTTATTTGTGAATATCAACGAGCAAGTTAGTAATCAAAATAAACATATTTTGCTACGCTATCGAAGTCCATTAGTTGAGAGCTTTTCTCATGCTGTTCAAACATATTATTAAGACTAAAATAAATCTTAAAGAAGGTTTTTTCTAAAATTAATAATAATATCTTTTATAAAAAATAAAAATATTTTTTAAAGATGAATTATAAAAATAATTATATTTGTATATATTTTAAAAATAGATTTTTGTAAGTAAATTTTTAATAATGCAAAAAGTGATTTTTATAAAATTATGAAAAAATTATATAAACATTAATATAAAATATTTATTTTAAAAGAGACTTGAAGTGAGAATTTTCTTGATGTCGCCTTTGATCGACTTTGACTTTTTTTATATGCAGTTTAGTCCCTTCTTCTTATCTATCCTTATTTGTGCATGTTTTGTTCATTTTATGTGTGAGTCAACGTGTTGGTGAACTTTTAGGTTATGTTTATGTTTTGCTGCATTATTGTTCATACTTGGTTACTGTTAAAAGCTTGCAGTTCATGTTTTGCTTTTCTTTTTCTTTTCGAAATTTCTAACATGAAGTATTAAGAAATGTAATATATGGATGAAGCAGTAATTTTTATCATTTGATATATTATTTAAAAATTAAATGGCTGAGATTTGTGACCGACAACCGGAAGGTTTTGATTTTCTTCCAAACCCTAACTCCCAAATCCTTCAATTTGCGGCGGTGGGAGGAGAGAGAAACGATCATCACCACCACCGACACTAACCCCATCCAAGAACCGCACCATCGTCCTCTGCCAAAGCTCATGCGCGTCGACATCCTCGCCGCCCATGGCCTTGCGCGACATTGCTGGTGGCAATGACCTTGTTGGCGGTGGGACTTTTGACTCCAATAGGATGAGTGAGATGCAGAGCTTCCATGGCCTAAACCTAGGTGGAGGTGATGAAGGTGTAGGAGGGGTGGATGGGGCTGGTACCAGTGGCGACGATGATCGCTTCTCTCTCCTTAAGGCTCGCAAATCTGAGATCCTCCAAGAACCGCGCCACCATCCTCCGCCGCAGCTCGCGAGCGTCGACGTCCTCGCCACCCATGGCCTTGCGCGACGCCGGTGGCGGCGATGACCTTGTCAACGACATAGGTGAATTAACCGGTGGCGACAGCAACCGAGTGGAGTTTTTGGGGGGTGGTGAATCTTTAGGTGACAGGGACCGTGGCGGCGTGGCAATTGGAGGAGGTGGCGAATTTCGTGGTGGTAGTGATGATGAGTTGTTTGGTGGTGGTGCTGATGGCTATGGCGGTAGTGGTGATAGTGGTGGAGATGTATTGTCAGAAGGGTTTGATGGCGAGGGTAGTGAAGGGCTTCTTAATAGAACTGGTGCTGACAGCGGTGGCGATGGTGGACAACTAGGTGGAACTGGTGGCGGCGCCAAAGAAGTTGGCGGTAGTGAAAATGACTAAATTAAAAATATTTATAATTTTTATTTTTTTCTTCTGATTTTAACTGACAATAATAAGTCAATTTAGTGGTATATGGATAGAGCTGTCAAAATGGGCTGTGGCTAGTGGGCCAACCCTGCCTACCTTGAAAACGGGTCGGGCTAGGCCAAAAAAAATAGCAGTTTTATAATAGGTGGATATATCTCAACCCGGTCCACTTTCACCCGGGCCGAAACCAGTGATGGGCCGGGTAGCCCACCAGCCTACCAATTTTTGTTTTGCAATAGAAATTTAAGTATGATTTGTAGTTAATTTTGTATGATGAGATATTAAAAAAATTTATTTTGGACTTTTATCATGATTTGTATTTAATTTTGTATGATGAGTTATGACTAATGACTATTAGTGATATTAATTTTATGACTATTATGTTAATTTATAATTAATTTAAAATTTTGAATTTTGTTGATAATTTTTTTTATTTTTGGTGGGTTGATGGGCTGGCCCGTATAACCCTCCAACCTCTGGTGGGCCAGGCCGGGCCAAATTTTTTTTAAAAAAATCAAAAGTGAGCCGAGTTGGGTTGACCCGTTTTTAAAGTGGGTCAAGGTGGGCCGTGCTAGCCCGTTTTGACAGCTCTATATATGGATGAAGCATATAATAAAGTACTTCATCCTAGAAGCACTCTTTTCTTTTCTTTCTCGTTTTTTGTTCTACAGCAAGTGTGTTGTAGCCTCTTAAGCCTTGCGTTGTATGGGAAGCCATTGGATGCTTTTCTTGAAATCAATGGTTGTTGCTTGACACAAACGTTGATGCAAAGTCCCTGGTACCTTCTTTTGTTCTTTATTATATTTGCTTTTGTTAGAGTTGGGTAGATAAAGTACATAAAATGTCCACTTCCGGTACATGCAAAACCCACGTGATTTTAATATATATATATATATATATATATATATAGGAGAGGGGATTATAATTACACCGGTATAACTTTTACTAAGTATTACACTACTCAATAATTTTATATTAAATATGAATTTTGTAAATCTAACCGTTAGATTGAAAGTTCTTTACTCTTAAATCATATATACAAAAGTTTATATTAATCCAAGATGATTTGATACATCATTATTATAAAACGAAATTGACTTAATATATTCATTTCAAAATATACTAAAATACAAACACTTTAATTACCTTTAAGTTGTTGTTCAATTTTAACAACATTCGATATACACATATAAAGTGATATGAACTTTCAATCTAACGGTTGGATTTACAAAATTTATATTTAATATAAAATTATTGAGCGGTTTAATACTTAATAAAAGTTACCTCTCTCTATATATATGTATGTATTTTTTTTTTGTCATTTCATTAAATATGTTAGTTATTTTGTTTTATGTGTACATACCACTAAAAAGAGATTAAATCACAGGTGAAAATTTAAATTAACACTAAAATTTCTTCTGACACGGATAATAATAATTATAAAATTAAAATAAAATTATGTAACTTAATTTCATTTGTTAAAATTTATATAATAATAATAATAACATAAATCTCAAGAAATACGGGTTGATGGGATTAAAAAAATCTCTTGGCTTTTAAAATATTTAGAACAGGTTGGACAATTTGATTATTTTAAAATAATATATAATCATTCAAAATTAAGTTTTATAATTAAAACTTAATTAATTTTTAAATATAAAACAAAAGTTGATTAAATTTGATATTTTTACAATTTCTTGAGATATAAGTTGTGGTTACTTGAAAGTCCTTTGATCCTTAAAAATAATATATTCTATGAATTAGAAGTTTTAATTAAAATCAACTTTCATAATAAGGAAAACAAATAATTTAAAATCAATTAAATAATAATATTTAAACGGAAAATAAGGATATATGTTGTAACAATTTGTTATCTTTATCTCATTTCTAAATTAAAATTATAAAATTATATATGCAATGAAAATAATAATATAATATTTAGTAAATACTTAATTCGATTAGAACAAAATTTATATTAAAAAAATGTTCAGATATGACACCTTAAAGCAAGTTGATGGTTTAATGTCTTATATATTTTCTTTGAGACAAATAAAAATTTTACAAATAATCAATTAAAATATTTTAATAAATTGATTTTGGTGTACAGTGTAACGTAGTGAGTAGATTTCAAAGTTTAGTTGACTCTAGGGAGAAGAGTATATAAGGGTTTCTCTGAGAAGGGAACTTCATAAGTTCATTCTCAAAGAAACTTAGAGAGAAGTTTTAGAGAGAAGGACTCTGGGTCTGTGAGCTCCTTTCTCTCCCGAATTTCTCTGTATGATTCTTCTTCTCCTCTAGATCACTAATGTCTTCTGTCTTCTCTTGAATTTTAGACTAGAAAGCTTGGTTTTGGAGGATTGAAGTCCAAGAGTCGAGCTTTGGAGAATACTTCTTCTTCTTCTCAGTTCTTGGCTATTTTGAGCCAATTTTTAGGTGAGGGAAGCTAGAATGTATGTTGTTTGGTTGCATGTGAGTTTAGGAACTCAATTGATACATGAAATTGAAGAATCCATGGCTGGATTGGAGGAAATTCTCATTTTTCGGGGTTTGGGAAAAATGAGGTTTTTGGTGATTTTGATGCATCGGGTGGGTGCATGTTGAATCTGAGGTTGTTTTTTAGTTGTATGGAGTCTATGCATTGTGTTTCTTGGTTTGCATGTGACTGGATTTGCTGTTTTTTAGGTTTTGGACGAAATTTTTGAAGTTTTGGGGCTGTTGTATGAATTTGTGCCAGGTGCATATTATTTGCGTCGGGCTTGTATTCATCAAAAGCAGTTTCTAGATGAATTCATGCTAGGCACAAGCTGGCAGTGCCGGGCGTGAGTGTAGCCTTGGATCTTAGCTTTCGAATGGCGTTGGAATTATCTAAAAAAGAGGTCTAGAACTCTAAATATGGTTGTTTTAGTGAACAGGGGCCAAGTTGTCAGCATTAGTTATAGTTGTTGCAGTTTTTGTAAGTTTTGACAAAGTAGATGATGGAATTAGGACTTGATGTCTTAGTAAGAGTTGTAATAAATCCCCTTATCTTTCTTTTGAGATAGGTTTGGGCTTATTTGGATGAGTATAACTCTTTGGATGTTGTTTTCTTTGATAGTTGTCGAAGGGAGATACATGTTGTTTTGATGTGTTAAGTTGTTAATGTATAGTTGGTTCATATATGTATGATATATGATGTATGGTAGAGAATGATTCATATATATGTATGCTTGGTAATGATATATATGAATGTTTGAATATGATATCACTACAACATTTTTTAAATTAGGCAACGCCTAAAAAATATTCTCGAAATATGGAATAGGCAACATTTTTGTAAACTGTTGACACTTTGTTTGACAACAATCATAAAATCGTTCCCAAAAGTACATATAGGCAACACTTGATCAAAGCGTGTACTATTCTCTATTCAATATTTACAAAACAGTTTTTGAAATATGAAACAAGCAACAAATTTCTAATCGTGGCCACTTCTCTAGCCCAACAGTTTAAAAATCGTTCTTAAAATTGATATTAGGCAAAAATTTATAAATTATTGCTTATTTTATATCATGCAACACAATAAAAAATTTCCCAAAATATATTATTAACCATGTTTATTATTTAAATGAAAAGTTTATTTCTTTGTAGTTAATAGGCAACACTTGTAAACGTTGCTTAATGATTATATATATCCGCCTTTTTTATTCGTGGGAAATATTAATTAAAAAATTAAACTTCTCCCTCTCTTTAATTCCCAAAATCACAAGACTTCTCGTCTCTTTAAAACAAAAATTAGAATCCCTAAAATTTTCTCATTTCGTATGCTTGCTTCTCTCTGTGCTTTCCTCTCTACGTTCCTCTCTGCATCTTTCTCATCACGTTCCTCTCTATGCATTTCTCTCATGTATGATTCTAACCTTTTATTTGTTTCTCTACGTGCGTGATTGTTGTTCTCATTATCACTCTCATTCCGTGAGGTTGTAGATTATGTGATGTTGTGCGTTGAGTGTGTGGGTTATGGCGTTCACAAGTGTACGTATGTGTTTACGATTATAGGTCTATGGCTGTATGGTTATGGGTTCGGTGCGATTATGGATTATGGGTTCCGTTTGGGTATGTGAGAGGGTTCCGTATCACTCATTGTGTATCCTAGTTCTTTGGCTACTTATGTAATCATAGAATTAGGACTCTGTAACTGATAGAACACCAGGAACAAAAACTATTGTGAGTGTTATTCAATTCCAGAAAGGTACTAAGACAAAGCTCTTGCAAAAGAGACAATCGAGCCCTTGGCTACTTGCAGAAAACTCTTCTCTGTCAAACTGATTACCCAAGCATGCTTTTGTCATACACTTCTCCCAATATTCCTGTTAATTTACTAACCAATTTGTCTAGTCAGCATAAGAAATTCCCCTCCATTCTTCCCTTTTGTTACCTTTTGGAATAAAACCCAAATAATAGGCTTCCTTATCCATTGTGCCTAAATCCAACAATTGGTCCAATTCCTGTTTAGGCCTGGAACTCATTATGTTGAATTAGATACAATCAAAATCTCAAGTTTTTGAATTAATCAGTTAAGTATCGTTAGTAAAATAAATAGCATTTTTATACTTATCATCTGATCTGGTGCATGTGTATCAATTGCGTGCAAATTTCCTGTATTTGAAAGATTCACTGCTATGAGAAAAACTTGATTTGGAAATTCTGAGGTTTTCCTTGTGTTTGAAATTGGTATTAACAAATGTGTAAATGTGTGATTGAAAATGGAATGACGATTGCAGTGACATGGAAATAGATTTTGGATCTGAAGAGAATGCTTCCGTTGTATTTTCTACCTTAGTTGTTGACAAAGAGGTGATTGTCTGAATTTTGGTCTTGAGTGATATGGTTATGGTAGATGAAATAATTCATTAATTGTTTCAAGTTTTGGCTGGAATCTTTTTTTGTTATTTTTTTTAGCAAATAACAATTATATACTACATTCAATATTAATG